TCCAAGAAAAATGAGAATTTTCAAAAATTACAAAGAAGTTGAAATTTTTTGGAAAACCAATAATTATTGTTTTCCACATTTTTCTAATTCTAAAATATTTCTAAAATATAAACACACACTTACTCCCACCTCTACCTACCCCCACCTTAACACCCCAACCCACCACACCCCTACCTACGCACATCCACCCATTCCCAAGCCCCCCCCCCCCCCCCACACACCCACACACCCACAAACACACACCTACCCCACCCCCACACACACATAACCACAAACATACACCCACAAACACACACACACACACACATAAACACACAGCCATACCCACCTTCACCCCCACAAACACACACATAAACAGACACCCACCCCAACCCCCATCCACCCCACAAATACAGACCCACCCCAACCCCCACTCACACCTACAACCCCCCCCCCCCCACACACACACACACACCACCCACACCACCCCCCCCCCCCCCCCCCCACACACACACACAAGCACCCACCCAGCCAACACCACTACCATAATCACCGACCTACCATCGCCATCACCACCACCACTACCCCATCACCACTATCACCACTGCCACCGCAATCACAACCATCGCCGCCACCACCACCACTGCCTGTCATCACCACCACCACCACCACTACCACCACCACCATCGCCATCATCGACACCACTACTGCCCCCGCCGCTGCCCCCACCCCACCCTACCACCGCTACTGTTTTCTTAAAATGAAAACCGATAGAAATATACACATCTAAACGCGTTTTCTAATTTTCTAAAACTGAAAATGAAAAATGAATAAGTTTTAACTAAACGCGTTTTCTAAATTTTTCAATAAAAAACTGAAAACGAAAAACAAAAACTGAAAAGAGAAAACGAAAAACGGAAAATGAAAATTGTTTTTCCGTAACTAAACGCAACCTAAGCTTTTGGTGGTAGCTTTATGAAGAAGCAAAGTAAAGGATGAAGAGATTTATTTGCTATAACAAATCTAAAGGTATGTAAACCCTACTATTGTAATTTTTTATTTTATTAGGGTTTTTCTAGGGTTCTTGATATTCATAGTATGTTGCTATTATTTGTAAAGATATAGATCCTTTATAAGTTATATGTGCCCTTAAGTGTTAAGTGATTTTCCGCTTTCACATGTTTGTTATAACCTATAAATCCATCCGTATTTTGTCTCTATTGTTCGTTAGTTTACAATTTGCTTCGTCATTTATGAATATTCAGTATGATTTTACAATTTTTGGTTGACAACTTGCCATATGTGTTTTAACAATAACATATAGCCATCACTAACACAAAATGAACCCAAATTAAGTTGGAAATAATTGGAATCATTAGTAAATCGTCAAAAAATCCAACCAAAATAGAAAAGAGAACATACAAGTTAGCATTTCGGAATTTGCCGAAATTATAAAAGCTTTTTATAAAATGTCGCGTTACTGATTAATCATATATTAAAAGGACTGAAACTGTAATTCAGGTAATAGATTTAAACTTAAATTAGGTCACCACCCAACCAACGTACCATCCGCCTTGATGCATGGACTCTTCTCGACTTTGCCTTCACCAATAACACCGGTCGCCATTTACTGGTCAATAAAGCCTGACTTCCATGTTTCATGTACGTTTGTCCAAAATAATCTCAAATGTTGATTTAACTTATTAATTAATAATTACAATCATTAAATCATATGTTTTTTAATAAAAGTGAAAAGATTTCATATTAATTTACATGACCAAATTTTATTAATCTGTCAAAAGTAACTGCCACCCATAAAAAACAGCAAATATTTACATGTAAACTAAAGGGTAAATAGCATAAACGACACTCAGTTTACACCAAAATTCTAATTTGACACTGTGTTTTTTTTGTCTCAAATTTGACATTGCGTTTTTCAATTTGTTACAATTCTGACAACTTGACCGGTCAACCAGGTTACATGCTGACGTGACATGATGACGTGTCGGTTTTGATGACGTGGCATGCTGACATGATATGTTGACGTGTCAAAATTAATTTTTTTCCACAAAAAACACTATGTTTTCACTTTTTTTCGATTTTGACACTAAGTTTAATTTTTTTTTTTAATTTTGACATTATGTTTTTTTGTTCCAAATCGAACATCATTTTTTCCAATTTTGTTCAATGTTGACAATTTTTTATTTGAAACCATATAAATATTTTTTTTAATACATTTAAACCGTATAAATATGTTTTTTTTTCAATTAAAAACCATATTTTTGTATAAATACAAGGTTTTTTATACATTCAAACCATAATTTTATGTATAAATATGTATTAGTTATATAAAAACCGTATTTTATATTAAATACACAACTTTAAAATGAGTTTGAAGGTTTGGAGGCGTGTAGTCGATCAAAACCCGGATGTCAAGTTTGCAACCCGTGAAATTTTTGCATCTTATTAGAAGCTTATGGTTAATTTGATTCTCATGATATAACTAATGCATATTTATACATTATGCTTTGAATATAAAAAAAACAAAAAAAGAAACACCTTGTATTTAAATAAAAATGTGGTTTTTAAACGAAAAAAATATATTTATTCGGTTTAAAATGTAATAAAAAATATATTTATATGGTTTCAAATGGAAAATGGTCAAAATTGAACAAAATTTGATAAATGATGTTCGATTTGGAACAAAAAAACATAGTGGTTTTTAGTGAACGGAATCTACTTTCTATGTTATAATCGATTTAGAAAAAAATTTAGAATTGCTCTTTGTGAGAAAAGACAGACGAAAGGTATAACTTTAGGACAATGTTTCACAAAACTACAGTACTGCTAGTCCTTTCGGTTTCAAAATCTTGTATGGTTAGTCATTTTAGATAACTTCATTAAAAAAATTGTTAAAACGAGAAATGACTTCTGGATTTCTTGAATGATCTAATTTCACGAAATATTGAATGATTGAAAGTGTTTATAGGTAGAAAGATAAAGAATAAAACAGTTAAAATGAAACGACAGTGGTTAGGATTCTACTTGAGTTGGATTAGCTTCACTCCAACAAGGTGGGCGTGTTTATGAGACTTTGATAAAGCTTATACTTGCTACATTCTACTTAGGTTTGGTTATCTTCACTCAAAAGGAATTTAGTACATTATGATATCAAGTCCCACAATGTTTTGGTAGCTAATCATGGTGTCAAAATTGGTGATGTAGTTTGTGCTACATTGGTTGAAACATAGATACAAAGAATTCTCCAAGTGGCATCGTGGATCACTGATTTTGGGGTTGTTTTGAAATGTCTGAATGCTTACTGGCGCTTATTCAATTCATGAACTTCTCTGACGAGTCTCTGATATGGATAGGATAAAATAATTAGTTGAAGCAATTCCTATGTATATTTTTTATAACATATTGAAATATTGTATAAATTTGAAGGAATCCAATTTAATTACAAATAAAAAAATATTTTACAAATTTTAAGGAATTATTTTATCTTAATAGAATACATTACAAAAATGGTCACTATGGTATATTGTTTTTTGATTTGGTAAAAAGGTAATTTGATAACTTAAGAAAAAAGAAAAAAGTTATATTTAACAACTGAATGGATCAATCATGTTTGATTTGGATACCATATGGACCAATGGTGCAAGGATGTTCCAAAGTTTTTTGTTTTTGTGGGGAATCAATATGAAAATTTCTCATTATTTATGAAAAATATAAGATTATCGTCATCTATAATTTCAATTTTAGTAATCGGATCCTTTAACTATACAAAAAAAATGATAATATAAACTGTTAAATATTAAGTTGAAATGTATTTTCTAAAATAAAAATCAATTAAAAACAAATTTTATGCATAATTCACGAAAACAGTTAACACAAGACAATTATTTTAAAAAGGAAAATGATCAACAACTTCAACTTTGACTACACCCTAATCCCGTGATTTATGCCACTGCTTTCCCCACCAAATTGCATCAAAATCGATTTACTTTAATTATATATATATATATATATATATATATATATAGAATGATTATTCATTCGTCACATATAAGTTCATATGGAATAAAAGTATTTTCATATTCTAATGAAAAAAGTATAAAGTTACAATTAACTCAGGATGCTCCTAGTCGCTGGCATATATTTAATATTTAGCTTATTGTGTAATTAGCTTAAGCCCTTTTATTATTGTTTGGTTTATCTAGCTACACATAAATTTCTTTCCATTTCATTGTTATGCGTCATTTTCATATTAATAAAATGATCCCTTTTGGGTCATTGGGTGTTAAACTTCATGGCATCGTAACATATCTTCGCATGTTGATCACCAATTTCACGGATCGTATTTGATTAGCACTCGTATTTTCTAGATAAGTATTTAATTGATTTCGTCTCATATTTGATTACTATTTCGCAACTAATGTGCTTTCTAGATAGTTGCCTTTTGGTCTTGTTTCATGGTTCTAATTTCTGGTTGACTATATGTGTATCTGTCACTATGGTTCGACAAAAAGATTATTCTTTCCAACCGATTGTTGTTCAATTTATGGTAAAAATTACGTATATTTGTGTTATGTTAAAAAGAATTGTCCCATGTTAGAGCAATCCCATTTGACCGTTTGACCATTTTTCTCTCATGTAATGCACACGAGGGAATTTAAGTGGGTTGTAAGTCATGAACATTTTTGGCAACAAAATAATCTTTAGGGACTAATGGTGAACATTTTTTGGCAACAAGATAATCTTTAGGGACTAATGGTGCAACAAATAGAATATCTGAACCATATAGAAAAGGTTTCACTTACTAGTTACCACAAAGACTATTTCTGTAAATCTTAAGCTAAAAATAATGTAAATAATTTATTCTAAACAAAAATGCCACGCGAATGACACTTCTTTACTTAACAAATCTTTTAATCTTAATCTAATCATCACCCCTTGTGTATATATCCATCTTCCCTCCCTGTTCACTACTTTCACTCCTCACTCTCCAACCTTCTCTAATGGCGGAAATTGGGTTTCCTCTCCTCTGTATTCTTTTCACTTTATCACTCCCATCCATTCTTTCTCGCAGCCACTTACCCACTTCCACCGGAGAAACTTCGGAGCTCGATGTATCTGCTTCCATTCAGAAAACCCTCGATGTCCTCTCATTCACTCCTCGCCCTTCACAGTCGCTAATGGCCTCGTCTTTTGACTCCTCATCGTCTTCTTCGCTTCTCAGTCTGCAACTGCATTCTCGAGTCTCTGTTCACAAATCCTCACACCAAGATTACGAGTCAGTTATGTTAGCTAGACTCGCTCGTGACTCATCACGAGTGGAATCCCTTCAAACCAGGGTAGATCTAGCCGTTAATGGCGTCAGGAAAGCGGATCTTAAGCCGGTAGACACTGAGCTTGCAGCTGAGGACTTGGAAGTTCCGGTAATTTCAGGTACGAGTCAGGGAAGCGGAGAATACTTCTGCCGAGTGGGAATCGGTCGTCCGGCGAGTCAGGTTTATATGGTACTCGATACCGGTAGCGACGTCAACTGGGTACAGTGCGCACCCTGCGGCGATTGCTACCAGCAAGCCGACCCCATTTTTGAGCCGGCGTCGTCTTCCTCCTACTCTCCGCTCACCTGCGACGCTCACCAATGCAAGTCTCTCGACGTTTCAGAGTGCAGAAACGGCACCTGCTTGTACGAAGTATCCTATGGCGACGGGTCATACACCGTCGGAGATTTCGTGACGGAGACGGTGACTCTTGAGGGATCCACCGCCGTTCAAAATATAGCTATCGGCTGTGGACATAATAACGAGGGATTGTTCGTCGGAGCAGCCGGATTAATCGGTCTCGGCGGCGGAGCGTTGTCGTTTCCTTCACAGATAAACGCGACTTCCTACTCCTACTGCCTGGTGGATCGTGACTCCGACTCGGCATCAACTCTGGACTTCAACTCACCGACCCCCCACGACGCCATTACAGCACCGTTATTGCGAAGCACCAAGCTCGACACGTTTTACTACGTCGGTTTAAGAGGTCTCAGCGTCGCCGGCCAACTGTTACATATCCCGTCGTCGACATTTAAGCTAACAACCGACGGTAATGCCGGTGTTATAGTTGACTCCGGTACGGCGGTGACTCGGTTGCAGACGGAGGCATACAATGCGCTACGGGACGCGTTCGTAAAGGGCACGAAGGGGTTGCCGTCGGCGAACGGAGTGGCGCTGTTCGATACTTGCTACGACTTGTCAGAGAAGAAGAGCGTAGAGGTGCCAACGGTGGCTTTTCATTTCTCCAACGGGAAGAAACTGGATTTACCGGCTAAAAATTACCTGATACCGGTTGACTCGTCAGGAACGTTTTGTTTTGCCTTCGCTCCGACGTCGTCTTCGTTGTCGATTATAGGGAACGTACAACAACAAGGGACACGTGTCAGTTATGACCTAGAAAACTCCCTCATTGGATTCTCCCCTAATAAATGCTAAAATCTTCGATGCAAGAATTTCTTTTTTTTATTTGATTTTATTTTCAACTTTTTTATTGCTTGATTTCGAAGCTTTGTCTTCCTAAAGTTAATTCGGCTCCAAAAGAAATGGTAATTTGTAAGAGAGGAATTCCGCATCAAACTATTAAGAATGTAGGGTAAAATGGTCTTTGTAACATTTATGTAATTAATAACTGAAATGTTCGTTGTTATTTCTATTTTTTTTATGTGGTTGACTGGTAGTGGTTGTGTAGTATCAAATGGTGTTTATGTCCAAATTAGTTCAGACAAATGAATATTTATTTAAGGAGATTAAGTAAATCTAATTGTTATAAATGAGATTTTTAAAAAGATTAAAAGATAAATATATATATTTTTTTCAGATTTTAAAAAATAATAAATTTCTTTGGAATATCATCGGACTAATCATATCCAAAAATATGATTACTCATATCCAAAATATCTATTTCATCCAAACAAATAAAATATCTATTTTATCCAAAATATCTATTTCATCTGTACAATAATCTTCAAAATCCAAAAGTTTTTTTTCTTCAAATTTTTAGTAAAATTTATCTAATTTTCTATTAGTCTGAAATGTGTATTTTGAAATGTTTAATGTTATTGTTTTTCAATAAAATATCTGATTTTATATATTAATATCGTAATATAGTTCACATCACCATGAATTTTTAAGCTTTCATTAGATTTAAGTAAAAAAATAATTTTTTTCTCTGGAATTGTCCATCGGAAATCAGATATTTTCTTGAAATTTTGAAGTTTTTTTTTTCTTTTTTTTTTCGAAATTTCAATACAGAATACGAAATGTTGGTCTGAAATTCACAAATATTAGTCCGAAATGTGTTTTTTTGTTATAAAAATGTTTTTTCCTAATCCAAATTATCCAGGCAAAATGATTATTTTTGCTAAAAGTATTTTTTTTAATTTTATTTTCAAATACATGTTTAAATTATGGTTAGATTACTTTTTTTTTTCAAATACAAGTTAAATTGTCTATTTAGCCAACCCTATTTAAAATTAAATATAATGTGCTTTCCTTTATATTTAGTCAAAGTAAGTACCTGAGACTGTTAACATTTTCTTTGTATTATAGTTTGTCTTGGAATCACCGACAATCATCCGCTTTAATCACTTTTTGAGGACGTGTTAAAAGACGATGGTATCCGTTTCCATGCCTACCTTTTTCAAAGGGGTTGGTTAAAAAGACACCCTTCTTTACCATTTAGACAACCCTAATTAATTTTGAAGTATTTTTATTGGTTGAAATTGCATTGTTTTCCGAAAAAACTGATTATAAGTAGTTGATTATAGGTTGACTTTTTATAAAAATGATGAGAAGGTGTCTAAGATGTGTCTTATTAGCAGCACCCTTCTTCAAAACACCTTTATTCATTAGACGTCAAAAAAACTTTTCTTTTTTAGGCATTCATTTAAGTCATTAAACTTGCTAATTAAAGTTAAAAGATGAAGCTTAACCGATAATTAAATGTTGGGTTATAGTTGAAAGGGTGGTTACATGTTGTATAAAGAAATAGGCGATAAAAAGATATACTTGATGGTTATTATTAGAATTAGTTATGTGAAATGAACTTTTCATATGATGTTTTGATTGATGACATGTTTATTGAACCAAAAATGTGTTTTAATTTTTAAATCCTATTTAATATTTAAGTGCCTAAAACATGGAACTTATTGGACCTTAAGATTACATATTATTTTAAACATGAAACCCAGAAACGAAATAATTGGTACCGCAACAATAAGGAAAAGGGAAAGGTGTGAGGTGGAGGTCTGTTTAAAGTGAGATTGTAAGTTGTGTGTACTTTTTAACTATTTTGAATTTTTATTTTGTAATGCAAAAAGTTAAGGCATTAAGCATCATGGTTAGTGTCGATCTAAACTTTATCTTTTTTTGAGAATTACAAACAAATTAGGTTAAATCTTCTATGTTTTATCCACAATTGAAATAAAAATTTAGGTTTTTTCAAAAATTACGATGAATTTTGTATTTACGCACGTCAAGTATGCGAATTTACGTGAATTTTATACAATCCTCGCAAAATATTCACGAGTTTAACTCTATCAGGCATTGGCTAATTCACGAAGTTTGTATTATCTTGGACACCCCATTGACCACTTGTTAAAAAGTCAACTTATAACTAACTACTTATAATCAGTTTTTACGGAAAACAATGCAATTTCAACCAATAAAAATATTTCAAAAGTAAATAAGGGTGTCTATATGGTAAATTAGGGTGTCTTTTTAGCCAACCCTATTATAAAAACATCGTTTCATTTAACCGTGAATTAGCCAATGCCTGATAGAGTTAAACTCGTGAATATTTCGTGAGGATTGTATAAAGTTCACGTATAAACTAAAAAATGTATATTTTTAAAAAATTCATCGAGTAAACTAAAAAATTGACTATTTGAAACTTAGCTAATATATATATTTCTAAAAATAAAAAAACAAGGGAAGGTGTTGTTGAGGTGGTTAAGATGTATGGTTTATATTGCTTTGATCATAGAGATTCTCACCAAAGATAATTAAGTTATTTCTTTCCTGCATTCCAGCTTCAATGTTTGGTATCTAAACTCACAACCAAAACTTTTAAAAGCTTGCAACTTAGCAATCTCAATTTGTTTACATTTTTGATTTTTCTAATATTTATTTTATAGTTTTTTTTTTCTTACAAATTTGTTAAACCTCAGAATTCGTGAATTTGACTATTTTTGTTAATTCATTGCTAAATTTGACGAGATTTTTTGAGTTTGTTTCACTTCACTTTGTCCAAGACTGCCATAAACATGCATGGATACATGATATGATAAATTCTTCCTAATGGCGTGGTATGTGCATCATCTCCAAGGTCAGAGATGCTCGACTTCTCCTTTCCCCTAATTAATATTGATATCAGTATTGCAAATACTCTTGTTAGCAAAATTTAAGATTGATTTGGTAAACCTGATGTATAGTGAGTTCATGTTTTTTTTTAATGCATTCAATAATTTAAACTAACCATACGATCAAGTGAACCAATAACATGCATACAATCAACTATTTCAACCCTCGTCCCTACTTCACATGACACCTTTGTCTCGCATGTGTGTTGTTAGTTGCATAGGGTCATTATATGGAGAGAAAACAGTTATCTCCATTCTTAATAAAAACTTCTTCTACATGCCACGTGTCCATCTTTTAGACCAATGTTATTCCACGTGTTATCTTTTGGTGGAGCTTATTTTGATGTTTCCCGCTCAAACGATTAATTTGCTCTCCAAATCCAGTTTTAGACGACTAGGAACGGGCAATGCGCCTCTCCGTTATTCTGATGTGGCATCCAAAAAATGGCGTTATAACACCTGCTACACTAGCCCCGATTCCCGTTTTTGGCCGTTATGGTACAAGGCGTTATGGTGACAACGAGAGGAAACGGTTTGCATCGAGTGAAACGATCACTTTTTCGACCGTTATGAAACGGTCATGTAGTAAAAAAAATTCCATTTTAACTCCAATATCAATACACATATAACTTCAATTTTTACCTACACATTCAACCTATTTCTCTCATCTTATTACATACAACTCAACCAATTTCACATTCAATCACTATGGATCAAAACCCCAACACTCCTCCTCCAAACACAAACACATCACCTCCTCTCGTTTTTGCACAATATGAGGCGTACGCGAACATCCTTAAATCGCAAAGCTCACCGCAACTTCCATTTTCCGGCAACTTTTTCAATTCCGCCTCACCCCACCACAATTCCCTACAACCCTTCCACAAAACCTTTTCAACACATTTGCTACCACGCAACAACATACCACACAACCACCATCCACGCAAGAAACGGTTGCCGAGACGCAAGAGGGGGGGGGGGGAGTCGGAAAAAAAAAACGGTCAACAAAGGGAGAGCAAGAAATAAAGGGAAAGCGGTCTCGGTGGAGCAATCAGAAGAAGAACCTCCAACATGGTGGACTGCAGAGGAAGAATACGCGTTGGCGGTGTGCGAGACATCAAAAACCCCAACAAAGGAAACGATATGAGAAAAGTCGCTTTTTGGGAAGTTGTCATTGGCAAATTTCAGACTATTTTGAAGAATGATGAAAATGATCGTAATCACAATATGTTGAGTAGCAAGTGTACTCAAATAAGCAAGAAGTGCACCAAGTTCAATTCCCTCTACAACAAACTTTCCTTGCACAAGCAAAGTGGTGTGGCCGATTTTGATGTTTTTAGAGCCGCGATGGACCAATATCATGCCGAGATGGGTCACGTTTTCGAGCACGAAAGATTTGAGAGATTGTCAAGGACGAACCAAAATGGAATAAAACAGATACGTTTTCGGAACAACAATCAAAGAGGTCTCGTGGCTCGGGTTCGGTCGACGTTTCCGATGCACGCACGAATATCGACCTCAATGCGGACACATATGAGTTATCGGACAACCTCAACGACATCGAAGAGATCTCCCCGCATCAACGACCGATAGGGCGCGACAAAGGAAGTCGGGCTCAACAACATGCGGAGGAAAGCGAAAGTAGACTTCGATAGCACACAAAATTGAACGATATGACTTGCAACGTGAGCATTTGGAGTTCCTTCGTCGAGAAGCCGAGGAAGATCGCATGACGAAGGGTTTAACAATTCTAACGACTAGCGAGGAAAATATTCCATCGAGACAAGCGCAAGTGCTTCGGAAAATGAAGGCAAAGATCAAGCGGAAATATTTGGACGACGAATAGTTTATCGGTTTTAAGTTTTTTAACTTATTAGGACTATCATATGCTTTTGTTCAATGTTTTTTTTCTTTTGTTTTTGCTTTGTAATGTCGTTTTTAGTTTTAAAATGGTATGTTTAATTTAGTATTTAGTTGAATTTTGTTTTACTAATTTATATGTTTTTTTATAAATATTACGACATAAATTAAAAAAAAATAAAACAAATTAGAAAAATAGAAATTAAAAACATCAAA